CTACTGGCCTGCAGGCATGGAGGTTGAACACTGTGTACATAATAAATAAATAAATAAATAAATAAATAAATAAATAAATAAATCTCAAATTACTCTCCCTCCTATGTCTTCAGTCCACTCTGTGCCCTTGCATTTAAGACTGTGAAGGAAACCTTTTCCTCCCTCTAAATTACTAGCTGACTGGGTTTGTTTCAGAGCATATGCAGGGTGGTGTGGTGATTCTGTGGTAAACAAGAGCTTGGCAACAGACACACCTCTCCTCACAATAACCAGTAGGTTGAAGAAACCTGCCACCTTAGATGTCTATATAGTAATAACTTGAGCCATTGGTACAAGGGCAGGGAACTGGTGCCCAGAGGTGAGTGGCTCTGCCTGTAACCTGTCATGTCCTCATTCATAAACATGCCTAACCATTCTTCCTTTTAAATAGCCTGCCTTCGGCACCACGGTCACTGACAAGCAATCTTGTTTTCCGATGGTTGACAAGAGACTCCTTCATCTTCCTGGTCATTGTTGGAATGAGGTGCATGTGGCCATCCACACACTTGGCCACACAGCTGTCCAGCTGTTGCTTTACCTATAGCTCCTTGCTTCCTATATCCGTTAAGTCTTTGGCTTTGTCATTGCAGTGCATGGTGCACCAGGCCAGGCAGTCCTAGTAGAACCTTTCCAGCTCACTTGTCACCATGGCAGTTGGCACTAGACCCAAACATGAGGCCCTGCGTCTTCTGGTGTTCTGTCTTCACACTTTCACCATGCTGTCCGCAGCCTCCTGCACTGGAGTTGCTGCTCCTCCACCATGGTAACCCTGTGCTGCACCGTGCCAGTGCCCTGTTTATTTTTATACTTTTTTTCTTTGTCAGAGCTGCTGAGACTTAACCCCTGATGGTTATTTTTCAGCAAAGAGAACTTTTTTTCTTTGCTTTATATTTGCAAAGCCAGAATTTCTTTGCTTTGAATTCAGAAGATGATTAAGAGCTAATTTAAAATTCATATCCATTTGGCGTCTTTGATTGCCTGCAGGCCTCCTCATTCTGACACAATCTCTCCACAGAGGTCTCTGACACAGACTTTTCCCTAAGTCATTTGCATCCTCTTTCTTTTGATCTTAGCCTGACTCTACTGCTTCTCTCTGACTTCTTCTCAGTCAGCTCACTTGGCTTAGACACACATGGTGTCCCTTATCATCCTCACTTCATACCTTTGTCTGGAAGGTAGGAGGACTTTCATTCTGCCCCCCAACCCGTTCCTTCTTGTTGACAGAACTTTCTGTCCTGCCAGCAGCTCCCAAATCAACACAGTGAAGCTTGTATTAGTTACAGATGCTCAGCCAGTAACTCAGGCTTGTTACTAGCTAACGCTTGCATTTTAAATTAGCCCATATTTCTCACCTCCACTTTGCCATATGACTTGGTACCCTTTCTCATACGGCTTACCCATCTCACCTCTCTTCATCTGCTCAGTCCTTCCCAGCTCTGCCCTTCTTCCTCGTAGCATTCTCAGTTTAGCCTCCTGCCTAACTTTATCCAGTACAGCTGTTGGCTAGTCAGATTCTTTATTAATAAAATCACAGTGACATATATTCACAGTGTAAAGGAATATTCCACATTTCCCCCATTTGTCTAATTAAAAGGAAGGTTTTTAACTTTAATCAACAAAAATAGTTAGGAAGTATAAGGATTACAGTTACAATATCTAGTTCATTATATTTGGCAAAATTGGAGAAAATACTCTATTATATATCTTGTCTTGGTGACTCTAAAGTTTTATACCTAATTTGCTTTTTATCATAACTAATGAAATTTTAACTATAACTATCTAATTTTCAACTCTGTCAAACACCCCAGGAGGGTGAAATGTTACCTAACAACAGGGATACCTGGCTGTCTGGACAGTCAGCCTAGATCCTTCTGTAACATTTGGACAACCAACTTTGGCATATAGGCCTAGTATATCTGACAGCCATTTCTTTGAAGCAAAGAATTTTGAAGGATTGTCTTACCTGTCTTAGCAAAGTTTGCCAGTCACCTTTTTTGTGTCCTGCTGGTCCAGTTTAAACAGTATATTGCTAGCAGTTGAGGTAAGGGCAATTTCTCTGCCCAAATGGTTAGCTTTTGGTCATAAAGAAAGCAAACTCCATATGTTGTTTCTTTGATGCCCATCATCTTCTTTAAAGTAGATTGGTGCTGCCAGGGCAGACATGTCTCACTGTCTTGAAAAGCCTTAAGTTATTAAGTATATTAATAATCTGTAGGTCTTGGAAGTGTTTGAAGATCTATCTATATAAATATATCTGTTTCTAACCTTGAAAACATACCTAGCATGACTCTAAGTCTGACTATTATAGATGACAGTTAATCTCTATTTCTTAATTATATATTACAGTTTTATTTCAGCTGCATAAACATAATACACTAAACAAGAGTAGAAACATGTCCCGCGTTACCGTCTCGCCAGCAAGGACGACGCGGCACACTCAGGATCCTTCTTCAGAAAAGCTTTAATGCATCTTGAGAGGGAGAGCATAAGCTTACAGAGCAGAGACCGCAGGGGAAGAAAACCCAGCCCTTAAATAGGTTAATGGTCCTCGCCTAGGACGTGTCATTCCCTGACTGGCTGCAGCTCGTCAGCCCTTATGACGCCACGGGAGAGGCAGTTTATCGGTTTGGCGCTACCGGATGCAGGCGCCATCCTGTAATGGAGTATGTGGCTCCCCACAGAAACATAATACAGAATAACAAAATTAAACTTAAATTTGTATCAATAAACCCAAATTAATACCAATGTAAAATATTTTTAGATCAATTGTTGTTTTTTGGTTTAAAATTGACTCAACAATTTACCCTTTTATCTCATTTCTATATCACATCTTCCTTTTTAACTTTAGATCTTTCAATTTAACTCTTTTGTTTGCTCTTTTTTTTTATGCTATGACCAACAACTTGAGACCAACCCCCTTAAATGATAATAAACATCCTTAACCCATGTTTGGGGAATGTGGGTGTTGTTCTCTAGACTGCTTGTTTGGGGGGCACATTTTTAGGGGAAACTTGAGAAAATCAGAATAATTGTTAGGTCTTGGCTGGGCTGTTTTGTGAGGCTGGATCATCTCACCCAGCAGCCTTGAGATTGTTGTGGATGCTGGATCAACTGGGCCATCAGTTTTCATTGGTGTCTGGTCCCCTTGTTCTGAAAACATACAAATTTTAAAGGTAACATATATTACAAGTATGAGATATGTGGCAAATACAAATCAGTTAGGGATGTTTTTTGGTTTTATGTTTGAGCAGGTAAAATATACATCAGTTCTTTTAGGTTTATTTCTTTATGCTTATTAGCCAGGATTTTCAGGGGGTCTTCCTTAATCAGACCTAATCATCTAACTTTGAATGAGTGTACAGCCTTTCGTTTCCCATAGAAATTAAAACAACCTCTTCCCCAAAGTAGCCTATCTTTTGTAGTGAAGATATTTTTTAAATGTATAGGGTGGTTTAATCTAGCACTCTTTGGTGGGAAACAAAAGCTGAAATGGAGCCTTTGCTGGACTTGAGCTCTGTAGTGCTCAACCCGTGAAGAAGATGAAAGCAGAATGAAAGAGCACATGTAACAAATGCAGCAAACAAGGGCGCGCAAGGAAGCATAAAAGGCAATGATGAAAGCCTCAGCAGCCTGTCGCGCCCGCACGCCCTGCCATGGTTTCTTAGTGAGTGCAAAGCTGTAAAAATAGAATTTCAGTGTTGTATTTTAAGGTCACATCTGAAAGCAAACAATATCTAAGGAGTGAAATGGAATGGTCTGTGGAACAGAGACAGAAATCTGAATGTGAAATGAAATAAACTCTTTCCAGAAAATATAATTAGTTTATTAATTAACATACTAATTTTATTCATATTATTTCAGTTATTAAATGTTGAAAATATTTTATTATTCATTTTAACGTGTAAAATTCCTTCATATTATCTGTATAGAGAAAGTATCTCGCCGGGCGGTGGTGGCGCACGCCTTTAATCCCAGCACTTGGGAGGCAGAGGCAGGCGGATCTCTGTGAGTTCGAGACCAGCCTGGTCTACAAGAGCTAGTTCCAGGTCAGGCTCCAAAGCCACAGAGAAACCCTGTCTCGAAAAACCAAAAAAAAAAAAAAAAAGAGAGAGAGAGAGAAAGTATCTCAGTCTATGAAGTTTCCCCCCAAAATATGTTTTGAACCATTTTTTTTTCACCTAACAAGAAAAGTAGCTAGCATTGGGAAACATGTAATGGTACTTTGAAGATAGACATCTGCATCTTTCCACATATATGCATACCTCAAAAAGGTAACGTTGGATCACTTTTAAGAATGTAAATAAAAAATTTCCAGCTGTCAAAGCAATTTGATTTTAATAGTATGTTCAGACCAGACCTGGTGAAACATGCCCATAATGACAACACTCTGGAGCCTGAGGTAGAATGAATTGTGGTGAGCTCAAGGCCGTTATGGTCTGCTCCATGAATCCCTGTTTCGAAAGAACAAAAAAGAGAAAATTTATTCTTATTTCAAATCACTGTCTTTGGGTTGAAGTCATGGTGTGTGTATACAAGGACCATACTGTCTTCTGAGACTCAATAACATATTAAAATAATAATAACATAGATTTTATTCTAAAGTAGGTAGTAGGAGGCTGTCATCAATGTGATGATATGATTTTACTCTTAATGTTAAGAAATCTATTAATATTTTAATGTCTCCAATAAGAAAATATATATACATTTGATTTGGTGCATAAAGAGAAACAAACCTTAATATATAGCTAACCTTCATTGAGGGCTTATTACATGTTGTATTGACCCAAGACTTTTATTAACGTCTGTAATCTTCATAATAGTGCAGAAGTGATGGTTCCTCTGCCAGCGCATCTTACAGATGAGGAGAGGGCAGCCAGTGCTCGTAACTGTGGGTGTCTCTCCTGCCTTTGTTGCACATCTTGAAATAAACAGTGTTTTCCTGTTTGTGTATTTGCTCACAGGATGGACAGCCTGAAATTTTGTACATGTTTTGGAGTACAGTTACCCAGGCACTTACTTCTCACTTCCATGCAGCAACAAACTGTAAGTTTACCTTCCTTTTGGGTTCATTTCAGATGTTCAGTTGCCTTAAAATTTGATGTTAAACTTTTGCTGTATTGTTTTATAAAACAATTTTTTATTATTCTACCACTCCTGACTGGGTGGCGGTGGTGCATGCCTTTAATCCCAGCCCTGGAAAGGCAGAGACAGCTAGATCTCTGTGGGTTAAAAGCCAGTTCTATCTAGAAGGCGAGTTTTAGAACACCCAGGACTGTTACACAGAAACACTCTGTTTTGAAAAACCAAACCAACCAAACAAACAAACAAACATAACCCTCCTGTCATTTCTGTTAGACTTTTTTTTTTTTTTAATTTTTTCAGACAGGGTTTCACTGTGTTGTGTTGCCCTAGCTGTCCTGGATCTCACTCTGTAGTCCAGGCTGGCCTTGAACTCACAGAGATCTGCCTACCTCTTCCTCCCTGGGATTAAAGGCATGAACCACTACCACCCAGTTTAGAATATTCTTAATTGGACTGAACATTTCCTGTGTGGATAGTATAAAGCAATTGATGCTAAAGTTTTAGTTAATTCTTTATTAGAGTGAATTATTTTTTAAATGAAGATGTAAAAATTAAGATTTGATATAAATAAAGAGATCTGAATTGTGCATCACAAGTTGACCCTTAGAATCTGATTCACTCGGGCCTATCAGACGGCTCAGCAGGTAAAGGCACTTGCCACTCTAGTTTGGTGATCTAAGCTTTATTACAGGATTCATAGAAAGGTAGAGAAATCTTGCATGATTTTGTGTGCAGTGATGAGCTAAATAAAGTGCATTGCTTTTTTTTTTTTAAAAAAAAAAAAGGTAGGTAGCAAGAACTGTCTCCTCAGAGTTGTCCTCTGATACCCACATGCACACTGTGGAATGCACTCCCCAGCCCTGACGGTATACATACAATAATAATGAAATAAACTTAAAGAAAAAAATTAGGATTCACATAACTTTTCTTGTTGTTTTTATTTCTTTTAGACAGGACCTCAATATAGAACTCAGGATGACTTTGAACTATGGCAGAGTAGCTAGGAAGAGTGAAATATGTGAACCAACTGATAGAAACAGATGCATCAAATATTAGCAGAGCTCGGGAATCCTGCAGGAGAGGGTGGCACAGGGGTGCAGGATGCCGCAAGGAAACTCACAGAGTCAGCTAAGCTGGAGTCGGGCTCATGAACGCGGAACCGACAACAGGAAGCCTGCATGGGATTGACCCACACACTTTCCATATATGTGACAGTTGTATAGCTTGGTCCTCTTGTGGGACTCCTAACATGGGAACAGGTGCTGTCTCTGACGTTTTTACTGGCTTTTGGAGCCCTACCTCTCTCATAGTGGCTCACCTTGCTCAGTCTTATTGCATGGACTGCAACTTGATATACCATGCTTTGTTGATACTCATGAAGACCTGCCCTTTCCTGAACAGAAATGGAGGGGGAGTGAAATGAGGGGGTGGTAGGGGGGGACTGTGGCTAGGATGTAAAACTAATAAAGTAATTGATTAAAGAAGAGAGAGATGTGTAAGAGTTTATCACCTCTGAGGCTCCTTGGCAAGATCATCATTCTAGGAAGAGAAAATAAATACTGTCTGAGTTTTTATCTTGACCGCTATCATTGTCAAATATCAAAAATGTACTCTATTACCTTTTTACAAGTTATTTAAAATACAGGGTTGTAGTAGACAGGTTCTTTTCCTTTCGTCAGTCTTTTGTTTTTTTAACTTTTTATTTTATTTTATATGCATAAACGTTCTGATATAAGCATTCCATGACACACATCTGGAACTCCAAGAACAACTTTTGGAAGTTGATTTTCTCCATCTTCTATGTGGGTTCCTGGAATTAAACTCAAGACATCAGTCTCATAGGGCAAGCCCCTTTACTCATTGCATCATCATCCTGGCCATAATTTATCTGTTAATAATTTTTTCAGAATGATATCTACTCCTCCAGAGCCTTTAGCATACAGGAAAATCTTAAACCTTTTAAACACAATATATTTGTTTTTTTGGAAAAGTCTTAAACTCATACATTTTAGAATATTGTTGATTACTGACTGGCTCAGCACATTTTTCTCATGGAAATTGTATAACAACAGTTCCATAAGGTAAATTCACCTCAGCTCACCCTCCCCACACAAGGAGTTGGTGCTCTAGGCAGCAGGGCTGTCTAGCAGTACCCTGTTTGGCACTGATATGTTACTCTTACTCCCAGTTATTTGGCTAGACTGCCTTCTCTTTGTAGATTATATTTTCCTACTTTTTGGTACAAGCATATTTCTCTTGTGTATCAGACACTGAGTCCCACCTTGCTTGGTGCTGGTTGCCTTTGCTGCCTTTAAATACTCTTGCCGTCTGTTGCAACTACTCAGATACAGATTGAATCTGTGGGGTCTTGTTTTAAGTTTTTTTGTTTGTTTGTTTTTTTAGCAAAATTGGAACAATGATTAATCTAGGACTTGCTATTTCCTGCTACTGAGGCAGAACTGCTAGCACCTTTCCACATACTAAAAGTTTACTATGGAGGTCCTAGCCAGGCTTTCTGGAACAGGAATTATTTATTCTCAGTCTACATGGTGAATAGATATTTTCCCTCTAATGTTTGGGGTGGCTGTTTATCCTGCTAGGGGTTTCATAATACAAATGCTGATAAGAGTTTTGCCTCATTCTCTGGGCGAACCCTTTGTTGGTCTCTTGAGTACCTCTCCCCTCTCTGGTACATCCTTCCATGATCTGATATGCTGGTCTGTTGCCCCTTCCCTTTGCTATGGCTGGAAATTCCTTCCAAAAGTAAATATTCAGGTAGCCTATGTTTCTTGTCTCTCAGAGATCATATCATTTGTTCTGTAATGTGAAATGTCTTGGAAACCATTGTTTCATAGATTGCATCATTTCTGTACTTCATATAGGAGGATCAGTCTTGCCCTTTTGTATCATCTTGATCAATCAGAAACATAAGTCCCTAATCTAGTTTTATTACCACCATGACTGTATTACTTGTTAACTTTTATTACATTTATTTATTTGTGCATGCCTGTGCATGTGTGTGTACATACACACCAATGTACTTTATGTGAAGTTCAAAGTATGCCTTGTGTGAGTGTCGTGGCTAGTTCTCTCTTGCCATGTCTTGGGTACCAAGCATAGATCTCCAAGTTTGGCAACAAGTTCCTTTTCCTGTTGAGCCATCTCACGGGACTCCTAATTTAGTTTCAAATGTAACATGAGGGGTTGCTTGTTGGGGTTTCTGTCCTGCCCAGTTCCTACAGCTGGTAAGCCCCCAAGAAAATCACACACAGAGTCTGCATTAGATATAAACTGATTGACCCATTAGCTCAGGCTTCGTATTAGTTCTATAACTTATATTATTCTTATCTATGTTAGCCACATGGCTCAGTACCTTTTTCAGCGGGGCAGGTCACATCCTGCTTCTTCGGTGGTCTGGGCAGGACAGAAACCCCAACCAGCAGGCCCTCATGCTATATTAAAAAGCAATGATAATGATACTGTTGGTGTGTGTGTGTGTAAGAGAGAGAGGACAGACAGACAGACAGACACACACACACACACACACAGAGAGAGAGAGAGAGAGAGAGAGAGAGAGAGAGAGAGAGAGATTCTCATCTTTGCCTGTCTTACTTTCTCTAACCATTATAGATCTTGGGACTTGCCATCTATCCTACTTTTCCTCATTTTGCTCACTCTGAGTAATCAGACCTCTGGAGGCAAGGCAGTGTCTCACGAAGAAACTCAGATTCTGATACTTTTCTTTCAAAGTGGAGCCCTGGTTCCTCTCCTTGACCTACAGCTACATAGAGTTTCCTTCTTTTCTAGTTGTGCATTTACTCTTGCTCAATTTGGTTTTGAGAAAACACTTATCAACATGTTGGTACTTTCCCTTCTGCGTTGGAAATCTAATCAAAACTGAAAGAAGAGTGCTCTTTAGTTACTGTTTGTTCTCCTTTTATCATCTTGTCTATGTTTCTCATGAGAGTGATTTCTTTTTTGTCTTCATGTTCATTCTGTTGATTTCTCAACCAGGGGAAACTAATAGGTCTGACTATTTTCCACCATTCTGTTGAAATTGTTCTCATTAAAGTTACCAGTGACCTACTTCCTAATTGCCAAGTTCAGTGTGTGTTTTTCAGTGCTTACCTCTTAAGTCCATCTGTTTGTGAGTCAAAGAAGCTACTGAGAGGAAATATAATCATGTTAGAGATTCTTGTTAATATTTCACATTTTATAGTTCATATCTTTGATATCATTATTACTTTAATAACTTCCATGGGGAGAACTCCGAAGTAAGTTGATTATGAACCATCTTTCATTTTTATAGCATGCACAGTCCCTGTGGTATGTCACGGTGCTGCTTCAGATTCTAGGCAGGCAATGTTAAGGGATGCAGCCATCTGCAGAGCTGAAGATTACAGATAATGTAACAGATTGTCTAAGTAATATTTTGGCAGAAGGTATCTAAGGGGAAGTTTTCCTAGTTAGGAACATGTTCTTTCTGATTATGCATGTTCATGCTAACAAAAATATTCTACTAGAAAGTATAATTCATGGATTTGACAGACAATAAATTTAAATTACTTTAGTCAAAAAGTTAAAGACTAACCCTATAACGATGAAGATAAAATTAATTTATATATCAAGTCCTAGTAATTTTCTGTGGGTCATGAATATTTCCAAAATATAGTTCCTAAACCTTTTGTCTATTCTTTTCTCTTGTGGTTTCCAGATTTCAGATTAATAATATTGATTCAGCAACCTGTTGGGTTATGAATTATATTTTTAAATTCCAACAGAAAGAAATGAACACTATCATTATGAACCATTTGAAATAGAAACAGAATTTCTTTTTCTCATTTTAGACTTCATCAGAATATGCCATAAATAAATATGCTTTATTTTCCTCCATAGTCCATATTAATAATTTACCTGCCAAGTCTGACTCCCACCACCTGAATGTAAGCCTCATAAGACAA